TGGAGTCTCACGTTGACACCCAGGCTGGAGTGCAGTGGCACACTCACAGTCACCTCAGTGTCAACCTGCTGAGCTCTGGCAATTCTTCTGCCTCAGTCTTCCAAGTAGTCAGAACTACAAGCGCGCACTTCCATGCCCAGCTAATTTTTTATTTATTGTAGAGACGAGGTCTCGTCAAGTTGCCCGAACTGGTCTCAAACCCACGGGCTCAGGCAAACCACTTGCCTTGGCCTTCCAAAGTGCTGGGATTACAGGCTGAGCCTGGCCAAATTTTCCATTATTTGCTCAGTTCTTTATTATGCCATTTCTTTTTCTCATTCATATATAGAAAAGCTAACTGGATGTAAACATTTTTCTATTAATGGGCTATTTGCTTTTGTCAATCTATTCTTCAACTTTGCATTTTGTAAAGTTGAGGAAATGCTTTATTTTTAAATTAGATGAAGCATACACATATAATTCTATATAACTATTATAATACTTTTAATATGTGATAACACTTAAATATAAAGGATGAAACAATAACTGTAATAGTAATTACAATAGTACCTGCCCTAACTACCTCATAGGACTGTTTCATCAGTTAAATGACATAATGTATTTTGCAAGTTATCAGTTACAAACTATATTCAAAAAAAAAAATCTCTCCCAGAAAAGTCACCCACAACACCGTGTCTAAATAGGACATCTGAAAAACTCATTCACAAGCAATCAAAATTCTCATTTAATTGATAACAACCTGTAAGATTATTAAGAAAGAAACCACCTCCAACCTTAATTAACTGCACCATAATGAGGGATCCATTCCATCCTGGGATTACCTATTGGAGTATCCTCTATAAAAGTGTCAATTCTAATGGATTACAAGCTCAATCCCACTGTTTCACAAAATGAGAGGGGAGCTTTAAGAGCCTATGGTAAACTCCCTGCTGAAAATGGCTATTACTTTCTAGGTGGACTTGCAGAGCGCATCACAAATAGACTCTTAGGATTTATAGTTCATTATTAAAAATAAGACAAAATTTCTGTCCTTTATTATAATATATTATATCAGCCCCCTACTTTTATACATATTTAGTAACATTTTGTGCAGGTGTCTAAATAGCTTACATCTTCCTCATTTATACAATCCCCTTTAATAATGTGATCCAGAGCAATATAGTCCTAAAGACTAGAACTGCAATGACTTTAAAGACTTCACTACATACTTTGAAGAAAATCAGATTTTTTCCAGTTGGCTCCTAAAGATAAATTAAGTCAGAACACAGGCAGTGCAGAGTGTGGTGAGCAGAAGAATGCTTCCCAGAGATATCTGTGTCTCAATCCCAAGAACCTGTGACTATGTCAGCTTACGTGGTAGGGAGACTGTGCAGAGCCTTGAGATGGGGAGAGGAGCCTGAATTGCCTAAGTAGAATCAGTTTAGCATCATGAATTCTTAAAAAGAGAAAGGTGCCAGAGAGTGGGTCAGAAAGATGCAATGTGAGAAGGAGTGACCCATCCTGCTGGTTTGGGGCCAAGAAGAGGCCATGAGCCAGGGAAGATGGTGGCCTCAGAGAACTGGAAAAGGCAGGGAAACAGACTCCCCCAGAGCCTCTAGAAAGGAACACAGCCCTGCCTGCAGCTTGATTTTAGTCCAATGGATTCAATATCAGACTTCTGACCCACAAAATCGTAAGATAATAAATGTATGCTGTTTAAGCCACTAAGTCTGCATGAGTAGAAAATCAATACATGCAGGATACCCAGCTTGTTTTCAGCAGAATGAACCAGTTTAAAAAGCCTATTTTGGAACCCAGCTCATGAGTTGAAATCACAGCTACTTATCAGCTGCGTAAACTTAAACCAATTATTAATCTTCCTATACCTCAGTTTTCTCATCTGCAAAATGAGGCTAACTGTAGTATTTATCTCATAAGATGACTGAAGGACTAAAAGAGTTAATTAATGTAAAACTGCTTCACATAAAATAGGCAGTAAACACATCCTAACCTCTGCTAGTATTGATTGCAATTAATAATAGTTTAATTACCTTCTTTTTCGGTCGCCCACAGGAAAATCACCAGATCAACAGTCTTCAAAACAGTCAAGGAAATGAACCTATTTTAAAGAAAGGTTTAGCCAAGTACAGTGGCTCACACCTGTCATCCCAGCACTTTGGGAGGCGGAGGCAAGAGGACTGCTTAAGTCCAGGGGTTCAAGACTAGCCTGGGCAACTTGTCAAGACCTCATCTCTACAGTACATCAAAACAATTCGCTGGGTGTGGTGGTGCATACCTGTGGTTCCAGTTATTTAGAAAACAGAGGTGAAAAGATTGCCTGAGTGCAGCAGGTTGAGGCTACGGTGCCGTGATTGTGCCATTGCACTCCAACATGGGTGAGAGAGTAGACTCCAACTCAAAAAGTGAAATAAAAATAAAGGTTGTACATATCTCCGCAAGCAGTCTCAATAATGTTCCCAGCTCCACTAACTACCATGCAGCTCTTCAAGAGTCATTCACATTAATGTCAAAGTCAAAGTCAAAGTGTCACAAAGAACTCCACTAAGGGTAAATGCAAACTCAGGTCCTGACAGATGAAGTCAATCCCTTTAATAATGTGACTTGTCTTATTAAAAATAATAGATGAAGCAAAATTAGTTTTTACTGAAATTTGCCATAATTGGCATTTTTCAGCTTATTTCATATTTATACACACTTTTCATTTGTAAAGCCTGCCCTATCCCCTCTTCCTAAATAATTAAAACTTTTATTTCACTTGGCCATTGACTCAAGAACATCTATATAAATTAATATAAGCAAGCTAAGTAGTGATGATTCACATCATAAAAATGTAAAGACATAATAATTGGTAATTTCCAAAAAGGCAGAGATAAAATACAAACCAAAAGTATAAATATATTTTCTGTTTCAAAATTCCACACTCTGTAACAGCTCAGAGCAGTGCCAAGACTCAAAGTAATACTACACCAGAAAGCGGGAGCAACAGGCCAGGCGCAATGACTCACGCCTGACATCCTTGCACTGAGGCAGGAGGACTGGTCAACCCTAGGAGTTGCAGACCAGCCTGGGCAGCATAACAAGACCTCCTCTCTACAAAAATCAAAAAGTTAGCCGAGCATGGTGGTGCCTGTAGTCCCAGTTACTCAGGAGGCTAAAGTGAAAGAACTGCCAGAGCCTGGGAGGTAGAGGCTGCAGTGAGCCATGATTGTTCCACTGCCCTTAAGCCTGGGTGACAGAGTGAGACCCTGACTCAAAAAGAGAGAGAGAGAAAGAGAAAGAGAGAGAGAGAAACCAAAACCCTTTTCTAACTCTAGGAAGAAGCTTGAGTACAAACCTTTACATAGCACCATAATAAAACTAAGTGTGTAGAATTTTAAATCTATGAAAAGTTCTGTACTTTCTCATATTAAAATAAACTTCAAAATTCCAAACCTAAATAATTCTAAAATAATTTTTAAATGACATTTTAAAGGTAATAAACTATGCTCCCGCAACAATATAATGTTAATCTCAAAAGAAACTTTCAAGAGTTACACAAAATGTACGTACTGAATCCAAATTATTTTTCTACTTTTTTGTTATTGCAGGCTCTACGGAACTACAGAACTGATAGAAACGCTAAGAAATAACTTATTTTTTTTTAAAAATTTTATTTTAAAGATGTGGGGTACAATTCAGGGTTAGGTATACAAATGTTCATTATGCAAGTACCCTTGTTGGTGAGGTATACCCCCCATACCCTGGCAGTCTCCCACTACTGCCAATCCCGCCCCATACCAGAAATAACTTCTATCTGAAAAGACAACGGAAACAAACATTACGAGTTCTGTAAAAGGCACTGAGAAGGAGCTGCCACAGAAGGGTCCGTGAGGGTCTCACAGAAGCACCTGGGCCTCTTCTACCTGACCCAAGGCCGTAGGGGCAGAGAAACTGCAGAGGCCCTGAAGCTCTGAGTCCAGCTGAGCTGAACTCCCTAGGGGCAAATCGGAGCCACTCACAAGACTCCCCTAAAGCTTTGCACCCAAACTCAAAAACACTCTCTCCCACCCCAACCTTAAATACAGCCCCAAATTGATCTCCTTGGTCTTATTCAACAAGATATTAGGGAGCCCCAAAGAAGAAGCGATGTGTTTGTGAACACTTCCTCAGAGTGCTATGTGTCTGACTGTGTGTACACACATGAATGTGGGCACATTTGGGAGTGGAAACTGAAAGATGCAATGGAATGAGGACACAGGACAGAGGTCACAGACTTAAAAGCTCTCTAGGACCAGACACAGAATGTAAAACAACTGAGTAAAAGCTAATAGGCATCACAGAGATTATAGCAAAAAGAGATTATAGCTCTCTATCAAAAAGCATCCAAAGCCAGGCGCAGGGGCTCATGCCTGTAATACCATCACTTTCGCTGGGAGGATTGCTTGAGCCTAGGAGTTTAAACCAGCCTAGGCAACACAATGAGACCTCATCTCTACAAAAAATTAGCCAGGTGTGGTGGTACACACCTGAAGTTCCAGTCACGTGGGAGGCTGAGGCAGAAGGACCGTCTGAGTCCAAGAGGCCAAAGCTGTGGTGGGCCATGATCATACCACTGCACTCCAGTCTCATCAAAAGATGAGACCCTGATTCAAAAAAACACACAAACAAAAAAGCATCCAAATTCAACTTGAAGCATTCAAGCTCAATTTGACCAGTACTGTTTTTCTGGAGAATAAATACACACATACACACATACATACATACATACATACATACACCCATCTATCTATCCAACAGTCAAACACATCTACAACTGGATTCAGCAGGCAGGTCAGTTTTCAGCCCTGCTAATTCAGCAAGACCAATCAATCACTGTATACCTGCTATGCTCTGAGGGTCACAAAGGGCTCATCACAGGCTCCAAGGCACCTACCTCAGTCCGTCCAGGCCAGCCACAAAGACTCTGCCAGGTCTTTGCCCAGGAACAGGGCATACTAGTGGCTGAAGAATAAAATACTTACCACTTGAGCTTCCAGCAGCAGAATACTGAGAGGCATCAAGAAATTTTCGAGGAGTAGGAAGGTTTGTCACATCAATCAGAGGAACAGGAGAAGCATCTTTCACAAGGGAGCTGAACAGGAAAAGGAGGAGTAGTTATCACCATCGTCAAAACCACCTGCAGTCCCCCTACAAGCCCCACCATGTCACCTTCCTTCTGTCATGAGCCCACTTCACACTGGGATCTCCCAAGTACATTTCCATCTCCCAAGGACATTACCAATAAAGAGAGCACCACAGATGGAGTATAAAGATGTATTCTAATGGGGCCAAGTACTTAAATTTTTATTTTGTCTTTTCATCTTGATGCTGTTTAAAAATTGTTGTAAGCATATCCTGGATCATCTGAATGATCACCTTATAATAAAAGTACGCCAAGCAATTTCACTGTCATTTGTATCTGTACTGAAGATTAATTTATCAGCAAAGATGGATCAAATTACACCATGTCAGTAGTTAAACCTTGCTTAACTTGTGATTTCAACCAGGAGTTTTTGACATATTATAGGAGTTCACCACATTTAGTTTTCTTTACAAGCATCTCCTAAATTTCATCTAGTTGAGAATCACTATAATTAAGATGCTTTAAGGAATCTCAAACAGGCTAATTCAGTATTTGATTACCCATTTCACCTCTTCCAAAAAGGCCTAACCCTTCATCTTAATGATTATCTTTAAATTCACTGAAACAAACACATTAGTTTTAAAAGACACAAAACTATAGAAACCAAATTTTCAAGATAATTTTCATCTATAAGCACTTGTTAAGTACAAGAATGTAGGCAACACCGAGGCAAATAAAACCCATGTCCTACCCTCAAGAAACTGAATCATCTAGCCACACCACCTATAGCAGAAGAGCTTGCCCAAGCCATGTCCCAAAGGTAGAGAGGTCAGAGCCATAATTCTCACCTCTCCCAGTCCTGAAACACAGCAGCAGCAGCAGTGGCTACCATGAAAGTGACTCCATGTGTAAAGGCAGAGTAGGCTGGGGAGCAGAGAAGAGCCCAGGCACCAGGAAGGACATGCCCAGCATCTGTGAACTACATCTGCCCCCAGCGACAGCTCCCCATCTGCCACTCACATTCCCGTTGGAACCGTGTGCTAGGTACATGTGTACTTTAAACTAATAAAAGATAAATTGTTCTCTCAGAAAGCTCTGAAAGATAAACTTCCTTACAGAGTGAGATTATCATTTAAGACATTGTGGTGTTTTTTTTGGTTTTTTTTTTTTGAGTTGGAGTTTCACTCCGTCGCCCAGATTGGAGTGCAGTGGCCGCTCCCGGCCACCGCAGCCTCAACCCACTGGACTCTGGTGATCCTTCCACCTCAGCCTTCCGAGTAGCCGGAATGACAGGAGTGCGATACCATGCCCGGCTGATTTTTGATTTATTGTAGAGATGAGGTCTCGCTGCCCAGGCGGGGCTCGAACCCGCAGGCTCAGGCAATCCACTCACCTCAGCCTCCCAAAGGCGTGGGATTACAGGCTGAGGGACCGAACCCGGCAAGATATTGTTATTTTTACTGAGGCTAATAATGTGTGATCCTCATTTTCTGGGCCTTGGGTCTCACTATACAGTCACGAGCTTTCCCCTTTTCACTGCCACAGGGAAGAGGGCAATCACTCGTCACCAGGTCCTGAGCATCTGTTACACACATGGCACTGTGCTCAGTGTGAAGATGTAAGTGTGACTAAGATATGAGCAAAACCAAACTCGGCGCATTTCCAATTATCATCATCTGCAGACTAACATGAAACTCGAGTGAAGTATAAGATATTAACGTAACAGAAACAACATTTACCAGGAGCTGAACTGGCATGGTTCTCACAATTCTTTTCTCCCAGTGTAAACCTGTAAGTTCCTAACTGCCTAAACCACCTTAATGGTTTGGCTCCAGATGGAATCAAGAGGGTTATTGATTTGTCCACTCTTTCATGTCTTATGACTACTTGTCATCTCATTTTCCCCTCTCAACTACTTCATCCTCTTTTACTTGCATTTTACTCACAACTGGAGACCCACCTCCACATCCTCCCTGGCCCCTGGACACACATGCTTGAAGAAACAGAGCACCATCATTAGGGTTACTTACAGTCCTGTTGCCAAGTAATTAAGAAAAAGCTAATTTTGACTTAAATGACAAAAAAATGCATTTTGAAAATATTTAAACATTTCTGTAACAAAGTAGAAGAACTGCTTTGTTTTTTTTTTTATTTTTTACTTTTTAAAGTAGAAGAACTGTTTTTAAAGCACAGATAAAGGTATCTATTAGCAGGAAAATTCAGTTATGCAGCTGGAATGTTGCCTGCCAAGCCTAATAACAAAACAGTAGTTGTGACTTGCATGTGTGCACACCGTATGAACACATATGTGAGTATCTGTAACAGTACATACTTCTATAAACACAGATTGTACGATTCACTTTAGATTAAAACCTACAATTCTCTTGCCGGCTTTAACCTAAAAACACACTTCAGTTAAGTATAGGGTGATGAATGGCTTTCTATTTCAACTTTGAAAAACAAACCTGCTGATTTTATTATCACAGCCAGAAGGGCCCTCAAACTCCATCAATAAACTTTTAGAAAGTCAATTTACTGCAAAACTATTTTCATACACCCATCTCTCTCTCTAAAATATTCCCTTAGGCTTCAATTTTCTCCTTTGTGAACACTAACCCAAAGGCAAGAAACTCTGGAAATGACTTTAGTTTTTCTCTTGTTCTTTTATGAAAGGACTTGGTCTTAAAAGTTCAAGAAAGAGACACTCCCACTCATTTAGTAACTAAAGACATGAAGCTCAGCATAAATTTCTGGTAGGTGCTATTATAGAAAATCACATTACATAGTGTGAACCTCAGTTTCCATTTCAGGAAAGAGAAGAAGACCTCTTCTCATCAGTTTCCATTTCAGGAAAGAGAAAAAGACTTCTTTTCACCATATATCAGAGATAAAGTTCAGAAGAAATTAATTTATTAATACCGTCTAAGGGTTTCAAATCTCTTAGAGATTTTGAAAACGAAAAATAAAATCAAAATTACACTGTTCTTCTGAAGTTTGTAATTAATATGAATGCTCTAAACTGAATTATTGTGAAAGAAATATTGTTATTTTTCTTTTTAAATAAATGATTAAAAAATGCTTTAGGTCCATTTGGAATCATTCATAGCTAGGATCAAAGACAGCTGATGTATACTAAAGTCCTCAAATAAAATAGTACTCCCAAAATTACCAGTTGTATATTGTGACTGAATGTGTTTTGCTATTTAATAACAATAGATGAAAGACAGGAAAACTATAAAGTAAACTAAGCTACACCCCAAACAGGCAAATACCACTGCCACAATAATCCCAAGGACTTTCTACCTGTTAACTAATCAACCAACTAGTAAGAATCTGCTTTTAAATATATTTGAATTCAAATTTAAGTTATGAAAACAGATGGTTTTTAAAAATTTTTTTTTAAAAAAGTTAAAAGTGCTGACCACTTATTAAACATCTGCTTTTTTAATTAGAACCTATTCCTGTTCCTTCAGTTAGCAATAAATGGATCCAACTATGTCCAAAATTTACAGTTGCAGCTCATTTGGCTGATTTTATTGTCAAACTAAAAACTGGCAGAGGTGAGCTGAGCTTTAAATTGTAAATATAATCACTGATATATGCACTTCAATAGCCAGAACAACTGGTACAGTGCCTGTCAAAGAGCAAGTGCTCATAAAAATTTGTCAATTCAAATTGAGATGAAAAATATCTGTCAAAGATAATATGTCCTTAGTAAGAAAATTTTACTGAATAATGAAACGGAAATGTCTGGCATAGTAATTCTCTATAGTTTTAGGATGTGGTGGAACATACAGAAAGAAAAATGAATGATTTAGAGAGTATAAAAGTTACAAAGAGTCATAGTTGCAAATGACAGACCAAGGGTGAAAACATGGTAACAGAAAATAAAGTGAAGTTAAAAATGACAAATCTAAGCAAAAAGGGGAGGGAAGGAATTACTGAAAGATAACAACAACAGCAAAAATAATAATAAAATTATGTGTAAACAAACAAACAAACAAAAAAAAAAACACCAACCACTGAGGAGAAGAGAACCTATTCAGTAAACGGTGGTGGGAAAACTGGCTGACCACATGCAGAAGAATGAAACAGGACCCCTACCTATCACCATACACAAAAATTAACTCTAAATGGATCAAAGACCTAAACGCAAAATCTCGAACTATAAGAATCTTAGAAAGCTCAGGAGACACCCTTATGGAAATTGGAACTGGCAACAAATTCCTATCCAGAACCGTAAAGGCCAATACCTAAAGAAATAAGATAGACAAGTGGGACCTCATGAAATTAACAAGCTTCTGCAAAGCAAAAGAAACCATCAAGAGAGCAGGGAGACATATCTGCCCACAGAATGGGAAAAAAATATTTGCCAACTGTATATCTGACAAAGGCCTAACATCTAGGATCTACAAGGAACTCAAACGCACTGAAAGGAAAAAAACAAACAGCCCCTTTAAAAAGTGGGAAAAGACATGAATAGACACTTCTCAAAAGAAGATATATGGGCAGCCAACAGATACATGAAAAAGTGCTCAGCCTCACTCATCATCAGAGAAATGCAAATCAAAACCACATTGAGATACCACCTAACCTCAGTAAGAAGGCCATCATTAACAAAACAAAAACAACAGATGCTGGCGAGGATGTGGAGAAAAAGGAATACTTCTACACTCCTGGTGGAAATGCAGACTAATACAACCTCTTTGGAAGACAGTGTGGCGATTTATTAAAGAACTAGAAATTGACCTTCCATATGACCCAGCAGTTCCTCAATTGGGAATACACCCAGAGGAACTCAAATATTTCTACAAAAAAGACACCTGCACATGTATGTTTGTTGCAGCTCTATTCACAATAGCAAAAACATGGTGAAAGAAGTTCGGCGCCAATAATGACTCCACACCAGGCCAGGACCAAGAGATTTATTAAAGCGGTGGTTACAAGGAAAAAGAGAAAGGGTCTGTGGAGAGAGAGAGAGGAAGTGGGAGAGAAGCGGGGAGAGAACT